CCCCCCCCCCCCCTTTTTAGTGTGAGGGAAATGGGGAATAACCGGGGAGACCAGGGACACCCCGACCCCCGGGCCCAAAGTTTCCCCTTTCCCCTTTTTTTTCCCAAAAGGGGACCAAAGAAAAACCGAATTTTTCACCCGCGGGGGAGTTGGGAATTTGCCCCCCCCCCCCCCCCCCCCAACCACCCAAAATGAGATCCCTTTTTTACCCCCCCCCCCCCCCCCCTGGCCCTCTCCCCTGACCCTCTCCTCACGCCCCCGCGTCCGGTGGCGGCAGGGGGCACTGTCGAGCATGCACACCAAACTGCGACGGCTCTCCGTGGCGAGCCATGGGCCGCAACCACCGCAGCTGCACCCGCAGCCGCCACAGCCGCAGCACCACGTGGCTCGTGGCATGTGGCACGTACCCGGCAACGCGCTGCAGTGATCTATCTATTAAGAGCGCGCCGAGGCGCTGTCTCCTCCTGCGCAGCCGTATACGTCGATCGTCGTCCCTTGCGATACGATACAAGAAAGAAAAAGCAAAACGCTCACACCTTGCGCTAGGGCTGGCGGAGAGGACAAGACACACACACACGCGCGCGAGAGACAGAGTCAAAATAAATAAATAAATAAAAACGGTCAAACTCTGAGACGAGATGGGATCTAGGGACATGTGTCCCCGCCCTGCACGATCTTGGTGTGAGGGATCTTCAATCCGTCCCCTCACCCCCTGGTCACTACCCGACACTAGAAGAGCAGCAAGAGTTGGGGCTGCGGCTACGGCTGCGGCTGCGGGAGGGGCTATGGTCGCGGGAGAGCCGCTGCGCCGCGTGGGCGCGCCTACACCGCGCTTGCTCCGCTCGCCACCTCTCGCAAAGGTCCAAAGTCATAGCCATCACCTCCTCCGGCAAGTCCTTTTCGCCTATCTTGCCGTCCCTCCATGCCTGGTAGAGCTCGTCGTCATAGCCATATTGCATCACAGCCTGCTGCACTGCGTCGTGCACAACCCCTGCCACCCTATCCCGCGCCTCAGCGTCGGAAAATTCGAGCTCGGAGTCATACCCGGAAGCAGGCGCAGACGGCCGCGGCGATTTGGCAGGCGGCGAGGTGGGGGAGGGAGAGCGCGGCGGTGCGCGCTCGTGGCTCCCGCTGGTGCCAGAAGGGCCAGCGCCCAATGCGCTCAGCCTGTTCTTGTCCACCACCTTGGGAGAAGGGGGTGGGGGTCCACCTCCCTTGGGTGCGGGCTTGCGGTGTTCCTGCTTCCGCTTGCCCGACTTTGGCGGGTTGCGGCCGAAGTTCTTCATGGTGAACCTGTCCGGCTTGCCGCCCTTCCCGACCCTCGTCCACCCCTCGGGCGACTCGTTGGGCCGGGGTTGCTGCACCTGTTGGTGCTGCGAGTGTGCCTGCGATGCTGCGGCCGGAGCGGCAGCGGCGGCAGGCGGTGCCACGGGCGGTGCGGCGAAAGTGGCGGTAGGCTGAGGCTGCGCAGCGTCCTGCGCGGCCTGCTGCCTGACAGAGTCAGAGACACGAGATTAATAAATAAATAAATAAAACGGACATCCCAAGCTAGGGCTGGGTCGAGGACAGACACGTCCCCACCTTTGCAGGAATTTGCAAAAGCGAGGGGGGAGGGCGGCGCATCGCCGCGCGGAGAGGGCTGGGCACAGGGCACACAGGGGATCCTCTCTCGCACATAGGATATGCACTCGGCGGCACGAGGGCAGGGCTGGGCGTCCTATTTGTGCTCCCCCCTGGACCCCTCGCTCTCTGGCACTATCCATCTGACCACTCATCTCGTCATCTGCGGGGCTTGGCGAGCGGCCGCGCTGCGGGGCAGGGCTGGTGAGAATGGGCTCTGGCCACTCGCCCGTGCGGGTGTAACCGCGCATCAGTCGACACGAGATTGACAACGAACCCAAATGCACATTTCCGCAAATTCTTTTCGGAGTGCTAGCACGCGCCAGTTCGCACCTGTGTCGAGCCTGTCTGCTGTGAGAGAGAGTTGTACTTGGTTTTTTCAATTCTTTTTTTGCTTGGGGCGGGGACAGCATGACGGGGTAGGTAGGGTAGGTCTGGGCCCTCCCGTCGGGTTTTGCTTGGGGCGGACAGCATGACGGGGTAGGTAGGGTAGGTCTGGGCCCTCCCGTCGGGTTTTTCCTCTCTTCGCGCCGGAATTTTCACAGCAGAAAAAGAAATTTTCCGCGGAAATCACAAAAACGTTAGAGTTGTTTGGTATTGCTAAAAATCTCTCCGAAATCACGATGTCAACCCTCCCCAAGTGGGTGATCTGATGCTTGTGTGGCCTTGAGAGTGGCCTGCCATGCCACAGGAAGGACTGTGGTTGCAGCAGGAGAGTACCACCAGCCATCACTTTAGTTGGTATAGTAAAGAAAGAAAGAAAGAAAACAGACAACCCAAGGGAGGGATGGGAGGACGGCACGCCGCCACCACACAGGGATTTTAAGGAGAGGTGTGTGATGCGCTAGCCGTCGCCCACCCTAGGGAGTCTGCCTCTTCCTATCTCTTTTCGCAGTCTCTCGCCGCTTCTCGCTGCAACCTTCATGCCACCTCGCGGTCGTCCCACTCTCGTCGTTCTCTCCCTTGTCACTTCCTCCTCTGTCGCGTCGTTCTCTTCTGCCTCGTCCTGCGGCGCCGCCGCCTGCCGGTCCCTTGTTCTCGCGGCTTCTTTGAGAGAGAGAGAGACCGCTCCTCCGACTCCTCCTCCTCCGACCAAGACTCATGCGGCTCCGGCTCCACTAGCGAGGCGAATGACATATTTTGACCCCAGACAAGGTTTGAGAGCGGCCATAACAGGTGTTATGGCTGTTATGGCTGGCTGCTCATAACACCCCATAACACCTCATAACACCTCATAACACCTCCATCGCTGTTATGGCTGTTATGCCCACCCTACCATAACACCTCATAAAACACCTCATAACACCTCATAACACTCATAACACATCCCACTGGTTGTTATGACAGCCAGCATAACAACCTCATAACAGCTGTTATGACTTATGTGTCCCACGGATTTTTCTTTTGGAGCCCCGCCGCGCGCATCCCGGCTTGACGGTAAAATTCTTCTTTTGGAGCGCCCGCGCCGTAACATGTTATGGGTGTTATGGGCCCGGGCCCATAACACCCATAACACCCATAACACCCATAACATGTTATGGGCTGCTATGCCCCGAGAGCCATAACACCATAACAATACATGTAACTGCGCCTGGGGACAACATTATTCGACACCCTCGAAGACCATCTCCGGCTACGGTTCCGACGGTTCCGACGACCATCTCGGCTACGGTTCCGACTCCGGCTCCGGCTGGTAGTCGACAAGCTGCCGAGCCCAAATCACTCTGTGTGCCACATTTCTTGTTGGCTTCTTTCGCCTTTCGGCGCAACTCCGTCCTCCTCGCGGCGTATCCTGGCCCCTCGATCATTTGCCAGTTGGTATAGTACCCCACCTTCACCCCGCACGTGATTTCTTTTTTAGTTCCCATAAGTAGGGTAGGTAGGTAGGTAGGTAGGTAGGTAGGTAGGTAGGTAGGGGCAGGGCAGGGGCCGGTCAAGATTTTCCATCCTGCTGTCCGCCCAAAGCAAAAAAAGAATACAGGCATGCGTCGTTTCAGAGCGATTTCCGACGAGGATCAGGTGCCTGCCATCAGGTCTCCGCGATCGCGTCGTGTCGTCGCTCAGTGTGCCTGTGTCAATGCTCTCTCTCGTCGTGTCGTCGTCGCTCGCTCTGTCACTGCCTCGCCGTGCCGTCTTGTCGACCGCATTCGGGACCGCATTGGCGATTCGGCCTGCCTCCGCCACCGGCGATCTCATTGTCGGCGGCTCGCCGGTCAAGGGAGACGAGAGCATAATGGCACCAAAAGCGCACGGTACTAGCGCGGCTCCCGTGCAGGGAAACCTCAGGTGGAACGTTGACGTCGAGAACGCCGATCGGATCACCAACTACAACCGCCGCTTCGCCGAGTTTGGCGGCTACTGGAAGCAGACCGACTTTCTCAAGGAAGTGAGCCGCACAGAGCCTACCACCTACTACGACTCCGTCACGGGCAAACCGCTGTTCCGCGCTCCGATCGGCCGCTCCATGGACGAATTCCTGGCCGAGTCCAACCTGCACGGCTGGCCCTCCTTCCGCGACCAAGAGGTTGTGTGGGAGAACACGAGAGTGCTCAAGGACGGCGAGACGGTGTCCGTGACGGGGACGCACCTCGGTCACAACCTCCCGGACAGGGCTGGCAACAGGTACTGCATCAACCTCGTCTCGATCGCCGGCCGGCCGGGCGGCGCGCCCCAGTAGACCGCACGTTCGTCGTTTGTGGCAAAGCACTTCCCGCGCCTGTTTAGTATGTCCGTATGTGACACTGTGCCGACGGCAAGGTGGTCCGGAAGCATTGCTGTGTGTCCGCGCGGAGTAGAGGGTGTGAGCTGTGACTGTGCCTCGGCGCCAGCGCGAGGCACAAGGGGCGGAGAATGATGAATGCGGTCGTCCGGTGACTCGTCGGACTCCGACTCGCGCGCGCGCTCGCGATCGCTCGATCGCTCTCCAGACAGAGAGCGCGAGAGACCCACATCGCACATGGCGAGACCTCTGTCTGCCTTGTACGATCGTACTTGATTTGCCACTAGACACCCACTTGACCGGCTGCAGCTCTCTACGCTTTTGGACCAATTCCCGAAAACTCAAAAAACATCTTCTCCCTCCCTCTGCGGTCGTGCCTCAAGCTTCCTGGGAGCTGCTTCCGCCGTCGGCGCCGTCGACAATGTCGAACTGGCAGAGAGGGCAAGTCTTCTTCTTCTTCAACCACTCCTCTGCGCACTGCGCGTGGAAGGTGTGCAGACAAGGCAGCGTGCGGACGGGCTGGCCGGCGCAGACGTCCTCGAGACAGACGCAGCAAGTGCGCAATTCCTCGGGCAGCTTGCCGACGTCGGTCACGGTCCACGCTGCGGTCCTCTGCTCAATCTCGCCCGCGCTCGCCCCGTCGCGCGACTGCTGCAGGTGCTGCTCGACAAACTCGCGCAGGAGGAGCAGCTCCTGCGGCGCGCGAGGGGGGAGACGCGCAGAGGTGGAGGGTGGCGGGGGAAACGGGAGGGGAGGGAGGGAGGGAGAGGACGCGCGCAGGGGCCTCAGGGGGCGACGGCGCAGGCGGGGAACGCACCAACGGCGTGACCTCCCGGGCCTGCAGCCGGCGGATGACGCTGGTTGGCGCTGCGCTGCTGCTGCTGCTGCTGCTGCTGGGCGCGTTGTTCAGCGCCGCAGCGAGCGCGCCCAGGCCGGAGAGCTGTTGCACGCCGCCCGCCGGCAGGGCCACGCCGTTCACAGCCGAGCAGTACGGGCAGCGGCAGTGCAGCGAACTGCTAGATGACTGGAAGACGCCTCGGCACTGGAAGCACCTGACCTGCGGCGCATGCGGGCCAGCGCCTGTCACCTGCAGCCGAGCGGCCTGCGGGGATCGGCTGCGGTTGCCAGGCTCGTCGGTCGTCGAGGAGGCGTTGCCCATGGTGTCTTTGCCTGGAGCGTTCGTCAAGCCAGCCGAAATCGCAGTGGTGTCGGCCGTGAACTGTATCGTCGTCGTCGTCTCTAGCCAGTCACTCTAACTCTCAGAGATGGGCTAAAGAGGATCCGGAGCGCGGTAAGACTCTGGGGCTCTCTCCGAAGGGAGCGTAGCGTACGCGGAGGGAGCTCAGAGTTTCCCCGTTCTCTGGAACCTCTTGGAGCAAGAGGAACTCGCAAGAGACGAATGCGATTCGATCGGGCGGTAGATGAGGGATGGTGGTGGGTCGCTTGAGAACTGGTCGATTGGCGCCTGTCTGAGCAGGAGCCGACGCTAGTCGGGAGCTGTGTCAGGAGCCTCGTGGCGCTCGGAGGTCCCGCGCACAAAGCGGCGGGCAGCGGCGGGCGCGGGGGTAAGGGTTCCCGCCCGCTAGGCGCTGCCCTCTGCGCCGAGGCTCGACCCGCTTCTCCTCAGTTCACTAGCACAAACTGAAGCTTGTTTATCATGAACTGTATCGTCGTCGTCGTCTCTAGCCAGTCACTCTAACTCTCAGAGATGGGCTAAAGAGGATCCGGAGCGCGGTAAGACTCTGGGGCTCTCTCCGAAGGGAGCGTAGCGTACGCGGAGGGAGCTCAGAGTTTCCCCAATCACCGGAGCGAGGGAAGGAGCGATCCCGGGGTGAGCGACTCCAAGCGTAGCGCAGCGCGTGAAGGATCCCCAAATTGAGTGAGTGACGGTCCTATTCGGTCTCGCCCTCCGAGCTCGGGGATGGGGCGGCTCAGTGCGCGAAGCGGCACT